ATTGTAATTATAACTACAGTATAGACCCATCAAAGCGTTTCCAAAGTTTTTTTGAGGTTTTCATGTTTGTTTTGTATAATTAGTAACACACCGATGACTTTAGCTTATGAGTTTTTTTAATATTTTTTGTTGTTGTAGAAATCAACGATTCTGCCTTCCTTGTTCATATATATATTTTCCAATCCATGAAACGCGCATCGAAACTTTTAGTGCCACTGAACATCATACATTAAGAAATAGCAAGCGCGGGACCATGGCACGGCTCGAAAACTGCTGAGCTTTTTGTTTTGTTTCTTAGATCACCGGTTCACACCGGTTTTTGGCAGGCCACACATTCAACTATAAAATGGATTCATCTTATGATTCGTCTAACTAGTAAAGTATAACRAAGTTATCTTATGGTTTTGCCTTCTTGTTTCATTACTCCCGATACTTTGATTTAGAAAACGCAGAGATTTGTTTCAATATCTTTTTTATTACCATAACTAAACAAACTCGATGTACAACTTCAATGCTCATTGTTTATTCAATGTCAGCTCTTGTGGTTTTGAACAAAAGAAATGGTTTGATTAAGAAAAGCAATCATCCGATTTATTGAATCTTAATAACATGGTAAAATATATTTATCAGCATTCACGTTTGTCCTTTTCCCTTTAATCCAAGTAGGAATAGATATTGATCTTAACTTCATACTAACATTCTTAAGAAATTACAGTTTTACTTTTTCGTTGATAAGATAACTAAAGTAACCAAAGCAGTTGCACTTAATGGTTTTGCATAATCAAACTAGCACAAAAATAATCCAGGATCAAAAATATTTTTCTAACAAGGTTCTTCCATACTTCTGCGTAGATAACTAACATTCATCTTCTTCGTTGAAAAACTAGCAGAGGCATTAAGGAAGTAAGAGTGATATCCCGCAGTGGTAAATTCTGGTTGGCGATTTATTCTTCTCGTCGAATAAATCTGTCTTTTCTAACTCTTTACGGTTTTCTTGCTCTTTTTTTAACTTTTCTTTGTTGTGTTTTCGGCAACCGTATTTTCTTTTTCTTTCTTGGTAATGAAAGTTCATAAAATATATCTGGTCTTTCTGATAGCGATGGAACTTCTAGTATTTTCGAAGATTTTGATTTCGGAGCATCGTCTTGATACATCATCACTTTGACTTTGGGTTGAAGCTTTGCTTCTTGTAAATAAAATCTTCTTTCTTTGTGATCCAGAAAATGCACATCAGCCAAATGATTTGATAACTTGACAAGGTACTTTGCTCCACATCCAGGAACAGGACAATCCCTGCAAACTCGGTTTACCATGTTGACAGTTCGAAGAGTTGTTACGAATGAGAGTTTTCTCAAGATGTTTTAACTTTTATACAGGACGACAAGGCCAAAACCAGGACCGTAAGGACAAAACCAGGATGATCAGGACAAACCCAGGACACTCGGGAAAAAGGGACAAATTTGCACAGGGCCATTTTTTAGATCCCTATGTCCCATTTATCATAGCTAATCTCGATATTCCTTTCCTTCGATTTGCTCGACTCCAAAGCAGCTTAGCTCATCAAGATTTTCAAACATGCCCAAACTTGCCCCAATGACGTCACAATATATTTTGTGTGACAGCCAATGAAATCTCAATATTTCTGCACCAAAGATGACGTCGTGTCTATTTTTAGCATTTCTGGGGATCAGACACTATAAATACCAAACTTTCTAGTCTTTTGGCCATTGCAAGCGAACCTTTGAAGACTGTGGATCAGCAAGCAAACAAGCAASTAGAAGCATGGCTTTTCACTGCGGCTCATGCAACAAGTCTTTCACAGAAGAGACAAATCTAGTGAGGCATAAAAAGGCTATTCACAGGGGTCTTTTCCATCATCACTACACGGTTCCTCATTAACGGTTTCACTCGCATCATCTACTTTAGCTCGCTTTAGGGGTGCTTCTTCATTTTCTTTGTCATCGTTTTTTTCTCTTTCTCTCATGATCTTCATACGACTTATCATACTCACAGACTTTCTGATGTTCTTCCAACTTATCTTTTCTGTAAAACTTTCTGTTGCAGTGCTGACACTGGTGCTCCTTGTCTTAAGAATGTTTCTTCTTATGTCTTTTTAGGGCATCCTTTCGGTTAAGTTGCTTCCCGCATCGTTCACAGGTGAATGATCGCCCACTAGTTACTGAGTATGATCAATTCGATTACTGCAGACGCTGAATGAGTACCAATTCGCTATTGGATAAAATACTTTAGAGGAGATGAAAATACTTTAGAGTGGTATTTCTAAGTTCATGTTAGAAAGAATACATAATCGTCGTATAACTATGAAATATGGTTGAATAAAACCGGGATATGTTCCGAAAACTTTATTTTCATAAACATTGCATCTTTTCTACTATCCTAAGATCATAGGTGTTCTAAAATAGAAACATGTAACCAAATCCAAAGTCGAGATAATACAGTGAGCAAAAAAATAGATACAGCTTATCCAGGATAGGGATTTCGGGAGAAGGCTCCGGAATATTAAAAACAGCCCCTGATTGGTTCATGCGTCTGATTATGTCATAATTCGGACTATTCTAAAAATAGATATGACCAATCAAGGAGGATGCTCAGAAGCGGCTCTGATTCCTTCTCAAGAACTATGACGTCATAATAGGGGTTGTTCTAAAAATAGATATGACCTATCCGAAGAGGAAGTGTGACATCACTATGAAGGATGTGACGTCATTTCATGGGGGTGACGTCATTCTTAGGGTTGATCCACGATCCACCCTGATCCACCCGTCGCAGAACCCCTATTCTGTATACTACTAAGGAGTAGAGTTACTAAAAACATATTGAGGAATAAACGTGTTCTGTTTTACGTACTTAGCTTCTTTGCAGGGCCGGGGAGGAAAAACTCACTGAATTACTATTGGGGTCAGTACTTCAAAGCGATCTAAAACTTGTTGACTCTATGATGAAATGCAAAACCATGTTTTTGTCTTSTTGCTATAAAGAAAACACTTTACTCAAAATCTGTTCTTTTTTTGCTTTTTGTTTGCATTTGGAAAAATATGAAAAAAATCTATGAGACTCAAATGAGGTCATACAATTAAAAAAAATCCTTTAAAAATATATCCTTAGAATACTGATTAGAAGTTCGGCATTCTCGCGAACACGTCAAATYAACCAAAAAGTACCTATGCACCTATCGGTGGAAATTTGATAGAAAAGCATGCCCTCCAGCGCACAGCAGTGAAATTTCACGATATTCTCGACTAGTTCCATTCTCTATAATTTCTATAACATTTTTATCAAACTCATTAATAATTCATGAGGAAAACACAATAGAAATCACGACCGTGAAGAGTTCTGTAAATCAGGTACAGAACCGTGTTCATTTGCATAAACTTTAACTTGGATTTTTTTGGGCAGATTCACTTTAATTTTTAAAATTTTAGTGAAACACAAAGGAACTAACCTAGACGTTTGATAAGCAATCTACAGTATTCGTGTCCGGCTACGCCTCGAGTTTGTATATCGGATACAACAAGGCCACTCATACTGTATATATTACATATAAATATGTATATAAATTTTCACTAAAATTAAAGGTCCGGATAGGCAAAATCTATAGGCGAATTATTGAATATAATTGGCGAGACCATTGAGCCCAGAACTGTATGTTCTTTTAAAACAGAGGGGAACTTTTTCCCAGTCCGGGCCAACTTTCTGACTTTTACTTGAGGCCTTTCTCTGTTTCTTCATCGGTCTACCCGTGGTGTGCGACCAAGGGTGACCAAGAGCGAGATAGTGAGGAAAAGGAGGAGCAGAGAGAGTCCTGTTAAAACGCGAAGTGTATGGACATTCTATTTTATTGTTTATTTCTTTGAAATTCGATGCCAATGATTTTTAAACAAAGTTGCATGCGCTATTAAGATATTCTAGAATACGAAATGAGACTTTTAAGCCATGCTTCGAGCTAAATTGCGCCTCGTTTAGCGTTTTTTTTTCAACAATAATAGCTCTAATAGAACTGATACTAGTGATTTACCTCATGGTATGGATATATGATATATTTGATGTAAGCTGTTACAACTACTGACTACAGTAACATGCAGTGGCTAACCTGTCAAGGTAGAATGATTGAGGTGAGAGTAGACTTATTATATAAATATGAGTGTTTTACTGGGAAATATCAAACTCGTATTTTTTTCGTACAAACTACATCCGGGACCTAAGTAACGTATTTTCCATATCTTCACTAGTGAGGATATCGATGACGTCACTTGTGATGTTTTCCCCGCGCTCACTTGAGGCGCGTTGTAATAGTTTTTATCAAACTCATGAATAATTCATGAGCAAAACACAACAGAAATCACGACCGKGAAGAGTGTTGTAAATCTGATACAAAACTGTGTTCATTCGCATAAACTTTAAGTTGGATTTTATTGGCCAAATTTACTTTAATTTTGAAAATTTTAGTGAAACACAAAGGAACTAACCTAGACGTTTGATAAGTCATATACAGTATTCGTGTCCGTGTTGTATCAGATATACAATCACTTGGCTACGCCTCGTGGTTGTATATCTGATACAACACGGCCACTCATACTGTATATATTACTAATTTCTTTGTGGTTTTGTCTATATAATAAAAAGAAAATTACACGTTGGCTTAAGATATGAAATTTTTCTTCTCGTGCTGAAAAATATTTCACTCGTTCGCTGCGCCCACTCGTGAAATATTTTTTATCACTCGAAAATAGACTTCATATCTTAAGCCAACGTGTAATATCCTCTATTTATGGTATAATATATGACATCACTGATGTACGCTGATAATATCTACAACCACTGTTTACAGTAGCATGCAGTGGGTGATCCGTCAAGGTAGCATTGTTCAACTGGCATGTTCCATTAAGGGGTTTAACGAAATTGACAGATTTGCATTCCTGGCCGGTATGTAAACAGTACGTAATGCAGGTAGAATCATCAACGACGTCATTTACTGTTTTCATCACGTGGCCAGATAAACAACTCTCATTGGCTGACTGGAACATGATATTTGGGAATGCGTCTGAATCTGAAAATGAAAAGTAAGGCTAGTTTTGATATAATGCTATTGTGACGAAAGAATTAACACGAGTTTTATGATAGCTATTGCCGATTAAGTGGATATCTTTGTGCAAGTTAAAATTAGCATGACTGATATCCGGTGCATCGTGCAAYACACTTTGGGTAAGCCATAGTACAGTCTTACTTACCTGTTTCTGTTCAGACACGATTACCGAGGCTGATATCTGGTACATGGTATACGTACAACACAGTGTACATTTAACACTATCTTACCAACCTGTTTCTCTACAAACACGATTACCAAGTCTGATATCTGGTACATGGTACAGCGCAGGGTACACTAGACACTATTTTACTTAACTGTTTCTGTACATACACAATTACCAAGGCGGACGTGACACGGCTAAAAAACCGCTGCGCATGCGCGAGATTCTGAAAAACAAGATGGCGGACGCTCGAGACTGTTTTCGTCTGAAAAATGCTCTTACTTTCTTTGACTTCAAGCCTTTCATCTTGACTTTTATTCGAGATMGAAATGAACCAATTTAATCTGTAAACCCTATTCCAAATATCCATGGTCTATAAGAGAACATTAACGTATCAACTGTCGTGTTAAACGATGCTGTTTTGGGACAACAACATTCATAGTGGTAGAAAATATCGATGCCAGTCACCTCTGCCTTTTTAGCTGAGCTAAGGTCAGGACAACTAAGTTAAGCTTAAGACTTTGATATTTTGTTTATCGAAATCCCCAAACGAAGGCATATCTAGGGTTTTACCTCACGTTATTGAAATTTGTCTAAAATTTGCGAGTTCCAGAATTTATAAGTAACGTATTTTACATCATGATCGGAGTAAAGCTTGTTCATCTATAGCTTTTATTGCGATTTTTAAAATTTACAGCATTCATGACTATATTTGCTTGATTATTTTGACAATCGATGAGCTTTTCAAGTTCAGAATCTTGAAATAGACTTGGAACAAGAAAACAATAATCATATTCCTTCTCTGTCTTTTTATCCAAGTAAGCTTACTCGATGAC